CTTCTCACCACTGATCGCGCTCGCCCATCAGTTCATGATGATATACTTACATCGGACAACTTATTTTCCGAAGCAGAAGTGGAGAGAGGACCACCAACTGATCACCACCACACACCGGTTGGAATTGCAAAACAACGCAGCCGCTTGTCCGGACGGCAGAAGACGCTCTACAGGTTACTGTGCAAAGCAGTTTCGGCGGCAGTTGACAGGAACGCAGGATGCGGGTGGCGGCAAAGAGAGCAATATAATTTGAAAGATGAACGTCTCGACTCAGACGATCACAGCGAACAGTAGTCAGAAGCTACCGACATTCGACTCCCAAATGGCGGCGAGTGGCGCTACTGCCTAGTGCCTACTGCTAGACTCTGGAGCGGTACCGATCGATGTTCAAAACAAAATAGTAAATACGAATATATAATAATAACGTTGTTGATAATGAAAATGAGAATCGAGCATTGCGCAGAAGCCGGAGAAGTTGATCGTCAGGGTGGCCCGACGAAAACATAAACAAAAATAATAAATATTATTATACATTTACATGGTGACCGCGGGTCTTCGACCGACGGTCTTCACACACAGTGGTGGCGGCACTGTTCGACGGTGTTACGCACAGCGTTCGGTCATCGTGAAATAATCATAGATAATAATCTTTTTTTATCTATGGAAATAATATGATCATAGAACAATATGATCGACACAATAAAGTGCACTATAAAATTATTATGTATAATATAATTATTAATTATTGAAGTGGTATTATTTCTGAACTGTTTTCCTGTCATTAATTATTAGTTTTTAATAATTGCTGGATAGTAAATTGCAAAATCTGAAATAATATAAGAATAGGTAATCAATAAGTATAGGTACTATATACCAATGTTAATTTTATTTTATTTAAGATAAAATATATAAATTATAAAACGTAATAAGAATTTAATACTCTATTTTAATTAAATTATGTTAAGATTAAAATTGTTTAACAAATTGCAACATAGTTTAAAAAATGATGGTAGCTTAATTTAGTATGGTCATAACTCGTAACTAAATTCCGAACTTTTATTGACTCTTGATAAATAATTGCAATTATTTTAAAACTAATCAACACCTCCTCAAAAAGAAAATCAATAGTAATTTCGCAATTAGGTATTTCTCCACATAATCTTAAGATTATTTAAATAATAATTAATTATATATTAATATTTGTAATTTAAATTAAACATCACACGGTATAAATAATGTACATTGTTCAAAACTCAAAAGTGGGAATTTCAATACAAAATAATTGTGTTCAGAAACCAGAATCAAATTAAGGTCACTTTACCATGACAAAATCATTTTACCACAGCCTACAACTGAGTGTATCAAAAAATAGTTAAAGATGAAACTCTTTTGTGCTTTCAAAGGCGTATGGTTAGTATGGCTGTGTTTATGAATTTACCTATATAAATTAAAGTTATCTATATATAATAAAAGTTATAAAATTTAATACACTTAATTTCAACATTTTATAAAACTATTTCCTTTTTTTTTTGGAAATTTACTTATCTATTACTTCTTTAGTATACCTATAGTGATTGGAATTGGAATTTTTGTTTTACTAACATTGTGTGGAACCTATTATATTATACTCAGGGCCGGGCGCCTGCAGGGGCGCAAAATTTTATATCATTAAATTTCAATTTTAAAAAAATATTTCAATATATTAATATCTGTTAGTATTAGATACGAGTTGATTAATACTGTGTTATAAATTTAACACTTAAATTTATATAGTTAAACCTCACATTTACCATTAATTATTGCAATTAATTTTCATACACGACGATCGACGGTACCTGGTAGGTAGGTACCTACCGAATTATATTGTAAAGTAATATATTTTATTTATAAAAATGTATATATTTCTACACGTATTTAAGCCGCAGGAAATATCAATGTGTTTCCTGTGGCCGATAATAATAAAAATAGAACGACTGTAATAATATGTGTAGGTACCTATATATTGTGCATTGATAGCAGGGTGGCGTGGAATGCGCTGTTATTAGCTTATAGGTCTATAATAATTGGTCGGCAGAGTCCTACCCCCACCTCCACGTGGTGCCGACTGGAAATGGAATTCCGGTTCCAGCCAACGGGGGAGGCACAGAAGGCAACTGTATAACATGGATCACTACTAATTGTTCCACAAAATATTTGTTCCACACTATATTTGTTCCAACTACTATTTCATCCTAGTTTTACTATTTGTTCCACAATACACTTGTTCCGATTACTATTTATTCCGCAAAACATTATTCCGATGACTATTTGTTCCGCAAAATATTTGTCCCAATTACTATTTGTTCCAAAAAACGTTTGTTCCAAGTGTTCCTAACCGCTCCGCAAATCGAAAATATCCCCCGACTTGCTGTGCAACAGCTCCCCAAGTGGGTCACAGGGTTGAGAAAATTGCATTTTTGTTGCACCGAGCCACCAATTTGAAAAAAACATCGTACAGTGATGCGGTGCTAGCGGCATTCGTCGCTACGCTCCTCGGCGCCGTCGCTCCGCTCCGCAAATCGAAAATATCCCCCGACTTGCTGTGCAACACCTCCCCAAGTGGGTCACAGGGTTAAGAAAATTGTTTTGTGGAAAATTGTTTTGTGGAACAAATAGTACTTAAAAAAAATAATTTTTGTTCCAAAAAAAATATTATTATGATCCACAAATAATTTGTTCCAATTACTATTTGATCCGCAACATATTTGTTCCAATAATTATTTGTTCCACGAAATATTTGTTCCAATTACTATTTGTTCCAAAAACTATTTGCTCCACATTTGGAACAAGTAGTTTGTGGAACAAATAGTAATTGGAACAATTATTTTGTGGAACAAATAATACAGATGGTTAACACTATAACACCAAACACCGGCGGGTCAACACCAGCGACCAGAGAGGGCCACCATCGCCCTCCAACTACCGACAACACAGACCGAAGGCTCGATGCATAGACGACCGGGAAGGTTAGACGGGGACCCAACGGCTAGTACACCCAGCGCCTCAGTATCATTATCCGAAACTGCCCCACAGCGGCAGGCGTGCCCCGGGGCATTAGTAGGATACCCACCGACGGTTGGTCACCGTCCGGGTGATCTTTGATCTGAGAAAGAGCGCCTCAAGTCTCCGCCGACCGGGCACTCAAATCACCGAGCAGCACGAACCAACAGACGGAGTTACCCGAAGGAAAACTGAAGAAACCCATACCGGTGGTCCACGACCAGAGAGGGCCAACATCGCCCCCATCCGACACCAACAACAGCCGAGGATGGATTCCGGGTGACGAGCGGAAAGCAGCAGAACAACGGTGTAAATCTCCACACCCCGAAAACTCAGCCGAAACTGTCGACAGTGGGTTGAGGGCCCGCTGCGCAGGAGTCAGACACCCACAGCACGACTTGCCATCGTCAGGGTGACTGAGGAAATAGGGGCTGCAGACGCAGACACCTACGCGACGCAGCGACTCGAGCGGATCCCGGAACGACGACAGAACACAAGGACGGAGACAGAAGGAAAACTGGGAAACCAACAACGGTGAAGAGCACCCTCCAGAACACCATAAGGAGAAGGATGCGCAATACGAGTCTCGAGGCCTGGCTGGTTTTCAAGCCGGGCCAAGAACACAGGAACATGACTTTCCGACTGGCGGGCACCAAAGCCGGGCCGGGAAGTAAAAAA